AAGCCATAGGCCCAGCTCTGTGGCAAGTGTGATTTTTAATTACTCTCTGAAGTTCAGGCCCGTCCTCAAACCCAAGTATGAGAACCGTGTTTTTTTTATTATTTTGAATGAATTCTAGAATCAAACACGTTACAGACACGACAATGACTAGAGATGAACTCTAACCCCAGCCTGCCACCGACTGAGACACCAACCACGCTGTGATCTGAGTTTAAGGTGTCCTCAGTTTCCCCATCTGTACGGTGTACCATTTCAGCTATGAGGGCCCTTACGCAATATACACAAGAGCACTTTTTAAGTGGGAGTGGTCACTCACCCTGAAGGTGATAAGCACCACATGTGACAGGTTCCTTCTGCTGACTGTGTAAGTTAAGTAAATAGCTCTCTTTCTGCAAGATTGAAAAGTGCCGTTCTTTCTAAGATGCAAGTCTTGGGGTGGCTTCCCTCCCTCGACTACTTCATAAACCTTTCTATCAACTCTTCTATAGACCAGCAAGCCTCTGGTGGCTCAGTTTATCATTCTGGCTGCCAGATCCAGAATCTGCCTAGTTCCAGATCCCTGCTGAGTCAAGTGCCATTCATCAGTTACCGCCTCAAACTTAAAAACTTCACGAAATCCTTTCTCTGGCGCTTCTTCCTCCTAGAAAAGGCTGCTCTGGGGATGGAAATCGTGGACCACGGGGCTGCCCCTTACCTGGTTGAAGTGCAGCTGTCCCAGCTCCAGCGCTCCCTGGTGGGCTGCAGCCCCCAACCGCTCCAGCAGGCGCCCCAGCTGCTCCGCCGATAGGCTCCGGTTGGCGCCGAACACGCTCAGCACGTCCTCGCTGAACGCTAGCTCCGGCCCCTCCGCAGGGTGTCCCAGGCTGGTGGCCGCCAGGAGCAACCACCCGGCCACTGCCCGGCCGGGAGTCATCGTGGAACGCTTGGAGCGCGCAGCAGCGGAGCTGGAGGATGCAGAGACCCGCGCGGGTGCCCGGGTGTCAGTGCCCCTGGGGTGGGAGGGCTGCCCGTCCCGCGTCACTGCCTGGCCCAGTTAGCGAGACACTCGGTGCCCCCGTCCTCTGCAGCCTCAGACCTTCAGGGCATTGAAGAGCTAGCACAGCCAGGAGGCGATAGGCAGCGTGGCCCCTCCGGGCCTCCTGCGGAGCCTGAGATAAAAGGAACAAAGGGGGACAGAGATAAAGGCCACCGGGTCAGCAGCCTGCAGGCCCCAGAGCACAGCGTGGTCAGAGTCTCGAACTCCAAGCCGGGCGTGGGGCCAGCTGCCCCGAGCTTGGTTCGCTGAGGCCCCAGGATTTGCTTACAATGTGGTGACACTCGCTTGTCCCGGATATAAAGCCCCAACCGCGCCACACTTCGGAGAACTAAATCCTCTCTGACTGTGCAACCCCAACTCCTCTTCCTGTCTTGAGGCTTTATTTTCCCGCGGCAGACGTGGAAGGGTAGCGACTGTTTACCTCCCCTCTCCCCCAAGCCGCTGCAGAGAAACGCGCCTTCGGGGTTCTGAGCTTCCCACGTCTACTCGGGACGCTCTCTCTACTGGCTGTGGACTTGGCAAGCTGATAGGAAGGAGACAGTAGCCTCTCACCTCTGGTGTCTATGTCGGACTCTGAGGTTCAGAAGGTGTGGGAGTTAGAGGAGGGCTACAGTGCTGGCAGTGAGCTTTGCAGTTAAAACCTTACACAGGCCCTCTCTCTCTCCCTCTCTCTCTCTCTCCCTTTCTCTCTCTCTTCCCCCCTATCTCTGGGAAACTCTGGGATCCTGCCCTGCACCCTTTAGAGATAAGAGGGGGAGGGGGGGTACTGTCCCCGCCTCTGCAGCACGTGGTGTCACAGTTCTCTAGGCTGAGCTCCCGAGTGTGTCCACGCCGGGGCGCAGAGCCCAGGCCCCTCACCTCTCTCTAGTTCTGCCTCCCTGGAACCCACCTCCAGGATGGGGTCCCTAGCCCCCTTTCTGGTGTCAGGTCCCACTTTTTTGTTACCTCCAAGGAATCAGCTTCCTGGAACGGAGTCTAGAGCCCCTTGCATTGTCTAAGAAATTAACAGGAATTGGCTTTTTGCCTCACTTCTTAAAATCAGAGAAGAAAGAGGAAACCGAATCAGTCGCTTGTTGGTGGGCTAGCTGAGCCAGCATGGTCCTTGCCAGCCCTTCCTGACGCCGCTCGGGATATCCGCAGATCACAAGGAATGTTTATTTGTTCAGATGAAGGTTCAAGAAAAGCTGACTTGGGTGTGAGGTCAACAAGTTTGTGTAAAGTGAATGTGGTGTTTGGGGACAAAGGTTATATCCGGTGGATGAAACGATCCAGAAATAAAGAAATAAAGTGAAACCGGCTTGGCTGTCAGATGGCTTAAAAAAAATTCAAAGCGTTCTTCATGCCTTTCAGACTGGGTATGCTTTACCCTCTGAAGAACAGCAAGTTCAAAAACAGACACACAGCTAACAGAAGAGCAAGGAGGTGGAAGGGGAAAAAAAACTATTACTCATAAGAAATTCGGGCGTCCCCACTCCCCCCCACCCCCGCCCCGAGAGTGTATATGGGAGGAGGGGAAATTGCAGCAAAATGCGGGCCTAGGTGAGAACAACAAAGGACCGTCCTGAGAAGGAAGGCGGGGTCGTGAACTGTCTCACAGCAGGGGCAATAGGCTGCTGTACCAGGGCAGTTGCCAGAAGGAGGTTTTCTGCATAAGTATGCCAAGCCTTAATGTGGAGAGCAATTTCTTCACGACTGGGAGCAATTCAGATCAACAGATGCTGGGTGAGCATTCGCATATACATGACACAAAAAGCCCTGCCTGGAAAGGCCTCGAACTAAAGGATCTTGAAGGTGAATTCTTTAAAAAAAAAAAAAAAAAAAAAAAAAAAAAACACTATCCATTTGTTGGTATTAATTTACAGAATGGCACGGGTGCTCAGTGGGCAAACTTCTTACCTAGGAACCAAAAGTAAGTTGATAATACAAAGGAACTCTTACATGATCCAGCTTTTTTTAGCTGACTCTTCAGGCTTTTTATGAGGTTATTTGCTTGGGTGACTAGCAAGTGGCCTCTGCACATGAATGCTTTAAAAAACCAGTCTCCATCCAATAAGATGTCCTTTTCTTCCAGGTGTGTCCACAACTAACTTTGTGGATACAATGTGTGCTGAGCTGTTGGGTCAGGGGACAAGTGCAATGGATAGATTTCAATAACACAAATGTTACTCTGTGGAATTTTTTGGCAGTCATTAACGTCTAGGCACGTATTTGCCAGCCAATCAAACCCTATAAAATAATAAAATAAATAACAAGCTGCTTGAAAATGTAAGTACAGTTCATACAATGTAAGTATTCGATTAAGAGAAAATACTCATAAAATTGCAAATTAACAGATAATTAGGACTAATTTCTCATTCTTCTACGTTAGTAAATTTTCAACATGACAGAACTATTCAGATTCTGTTTGGTTCCCAGAATGTGGCATTTTATCAGCAATATAACTAGTAATGAAAAAGGCTACCAGTTTAAAACATGAGGTACAATCCACAAAATACATCCTCTTTTTTAGACATGTACTTTGATGTTCAAATAGTTTTAAAAGATAAAAACAAGAGCATCCTTCTCTCATCTAGAAACAATTAGCAAAGTTGAGAACCCAGACTTTTTGTTTCTAAGTATCTAATTTAAAAGTCACTTAGAATATGAAATATGAGAACACAAAGAAGAGAATTAAGAATTTAATTCTGCAATTGAAAGGACAGCTAATGTCAATTTTTAGAGGTTTTTGTTTGTTTTGTTTTTTTAAGACATGGTCGCATATAGGGCAGATTGGCATCACACTCACTATGCATATAGCTGAAAATGACCTTTGAATTCTGGTCTCCCTGCCTCTACCTCCCAATGCTAGGGTTTTAGGCTTGTGCTACCACTCCTATTGATGGTGGGGCTCAAACCTAAGTCTTTTTTTTTTTTTAATTCAAATTCCCTTTGCCTTATTGCCTGTTTTCATAGAAGTCCTTCAATTTAATATAATTTTTATAGTTTTAGTAGCATATACTAACTGTAATTTTTCCCTTTATTTTTATTTAAATTACAAACAAGTTGTTTTACATGTTAATCCCAGTTCCTTCTCCCTCCTGTCCTCCCCTGCCCCCCCCCCCATTGACTCCCTACCCCATCCCCTTTCTGCTCCTGTGGGAGAGTGAGGTCTTTCATGGGGGATCATCAAAGTCTGTCATATCATTTGGATCAGGGCCTAGGCCCTCCCCCATGTGTGTAGGCTAAGAGCATATCCCTCTATGTGGAGTGGGCTACCAAAGTCCATTCATGTACTAGGGATAAATACTGATCCACTACCAGAAGCCCCATAGATTGCCCAGTCCTCCTAACTGACATCCACATTTGGGGTTTCCCAGCTATTAGTCTGGGGTCCATGAGCTCCCCTTGTTCAGGTCAGCTGTTCCTATGGGTTTCACCACCCTGGTCTTGACCCCTTTGCTCATCACTCCTCCCTCTCTGCAACTGGATTCCAGTTCAGCTCAGTGTTTAGCTGTGGTTGTCTGTTTCTGCTTCCATCAGCTACTGGATTAAGGCTCTAGGATGGCATATAAGGTAGTCATCAATCTCATTATCGGAGGAAGGCATTTAAGGTAGCCTCTCCACTATCGCTTAGATTATTAGTTGGGGTCAATCTTGTAGATTTCTGGACATTTCCCTAGTGCCAGATTTCTCTTTAAACCTATAATGGCTCCCTCTATTATGGCATCTCTTAATTTGCTCTCCTCTATTCGTCCCCTGACTAAATCTTCCTGCTCCCTCATGTCCTTCTCTCCTCTCTTCTCCACTTCTCTTTCCCCTAACTCCCTCTCTCCGCCCCCATGCACCCAGGAGATCTTGTCCCTTTCCCCTTTTCCTGAGGACCATGTGTGTCTCTCTTAGGGTCCTCCTTGTTTCCTAGCTTCTCTGGTGGTGTGGATTGTAGACTGGTAATCCTTTGCTCTATGTCTAAATTCCATTTATGAGTGAGTACATATCATATTTGTCTTTTTGTGACTGGGTTACCTCACTCGGGATGGTTTCTTCTAGTTCCATTCATTTGTCTTTGAATTTCAAGATTTCATTGTTTTTTTTTTTTTCCACTGAGTAATACTCCATTGTGTAAATGGCCCACATTTTCTCTATCCATTCTTCAGTTGAGGGGCATCTAGGTTGCTTCCAGGTTCTGGGTATTAAAAATAATAGTGAATATAGTTGAACAGATGTCCTTGTTGTATGAATGTGCTTCTTTTGGGTATATGCCTAAGAATGGAATTGCTGGATCTTGTGGTAGACTGATTCCCATTTTCCTGAGGAATCTCCATACTGACTTCCAAAGTGACTATTAGAGTTTGCATTCCGACCAGCAGTGGAGGAGTGTTCCCCTTTCCACACATCCTCTCCAGCATAAACTGTCATTGGTGTTTATGATTTTAGCCATTTTGACAGTAGCAAGATGGTATCTCAGAGTTGTTTTGATTTGCATTTCCCTGATGGCTAAGAATGTTGAGCACTTTCTTATGTGTCTTTCAGCCATTTTAGATTCCTCTATTGAGAATTCTCTATGTACTTCTGTACCCCACTTTTTAATTGGATTAATTGGTATTTTGGTGACTAGCTTCTTGAGTTTTTTGTATATTTGGAGATCAGCCCTCTTTCAGATGTGGGGTTGGTGAATATCTTTTCCCATTCTGTGGACTGCCATTTTGTCTTGTTGACTGTGTCCTTTGCCTTGCAGAAGCTTCTCAGTTTCAGGAGGTCCCATTTATTAATTGTTGATCTCTGTGTCTGTGCTACTGGTGTTACGTTCAGGAAGTGGTCTCCTGTACCAATTGGTTCAAAGGTACCACCTACTTTCTCTTCTAAGAGGTTCAGTGTGGCTGGATTTATGTTGAGGTCTTTGATCCAATTTGGACTTAAGTTTTGTGCATGGTGATAGATATGGATCTATCTGTAGTCTTCTTCATGCCAGCATACAGTTATGCCAGCACCATTTGTTGAAGATGCTTTCTTTTTTCCATTATATAATTTTAGCTTCTTTGTCAAAAATTGGGTGTTCATAGATGGGTGGGTCCATATCGGGATTTTCAGTTTGATTCTATTGGTCTACTTGTCTATGTTTGTGCTAATACCAAGCTGTTTTCATTACTATATCTCTATAACAGAGCTTGAAGTCTGGGATGGTGATACCTCTGGAAGTTTCTTTATTGTGCAGGGTTGTTTTGGCTATCCTGGGCCTTTTGTTTTTCCATATAAAGTTGAGTATTGTCCCTTCAAGGTCTGCAAAGAATTGTGCTGGAATTTTGTTGGGGATTGCATTGAATCTGTAGATTGCTTTTGGCAAGATTGTCATTTTACTAGGTTGATTCTAGCTATCCAAGAGCATGGGAGATCTTTCCATTTTCTGGTATCTTCTTTAATTTCTTTCTTTAAAGACTCAAAGTTCTTGTTATACAGGTCTTTCACTTGTTTGGTTAGCATTACCCCAAGATATTTTATGTTGTTTGTGGCAATCTTAAAGGGTGATGTTTCTCTGACTTCTTTCTCAGTGCATTTATCATCCATACGTAGTAGAGCTACTGATTTTTTTTTAATTAATCTTGTATCCTGTCACGTTGCTGAAAGTGTTTATTAGCTGTAGGAGTTCCCTGGTAGAGTTTTTTTTTGGTCACTTATGTAAACTATCATATCATCTGTATATAGTGAAAGTCAAACCTAAGTCTTATGCTAGGCAAACACCCTACCAATTGAGCTATAACCCCAGCCCACTTTTTCTTAATAACTCCAATTTTTTCTCGGCTCAAATCCTTTGTTACTTTTACCACATGTGAAGAAAATTTACATCTTTGAACTGTGTGTCTCTCTTCAGAAACACTAAGAACTCTAAAGCAGTGGTTCTCAATCTTCCTAATTCTGTGGCCCTTTAATACATTTCCTTGTGTTATGGTGACCCCGACCATAACATTATTTTCGTTTCTACCATTATAAATCATAAGGAAAGTATTTTTGAAGATGGGGATTTTCAAAAGGTTCTTGACCCACAGGTTGAGAGCCACTGCTCTTGAGAAAAGCAAACCCCCATTTACTTGCCTCCCCTTCCTTCCCGTATGCTCACCTGCCTTTCCTCCCAAGGAGTACCAACAAATAACACCTGCATGGAGAGGATCTGTAGTGACATGGCAGAGCTTCACTAAGGGAGAAGGGCCTGGACTAGAACCTAAACAAGGACATGAATGTGTCTAAGTAGAGGAAGAGACAGACAAAGTCACACTGTATGTTCCTAATGAATGTGCTATATTCATGCACACAGGCAGGGTGTGGGATTTCAAAGATGATGCAGGAAGCATCCTTCTCAGTGTGCTTTGCCAGAGCCCACATGGAAGAGGAGGGTATCCAAACAAAGCAGTGGCCTAATGTGG